ACAAAAAAAAAAAAAAAAAAGTAAAAACATCACAGTGGGTCCTCATTCACTTTATTCACCAGATGTGGAACCGTGTAACTTCTGGATTTTCCCCAAAGTCAAAATAACCATGAAAGGCAGATGTTTTTTAAAAAATTCAGGACACAGAGGCAACTATGACAGAGAAACTAAAGATACTCAAGAAAGAGGACATCCGGTACCGCTCCTAAAAGTGGCAAGAATGATGGGGTAGGTGTGTTTAAAGGGCGCGGGGGGGGGGCAGTCTGAAGGAGTTAATGGTAATGTATCTTTTACTATAATAAATTTGAACATTTTAAACATTCATCATATTTTTATCATACCTTATAGCAGCACAAAACAGATCAAGACACCAATTTCAGCCACCACTGCTCCACAGAAGCCAGTGGCTCTGGCAGAATGGCAGTTGGGTATGGCCAGACCTACAAGCTGAAGCTGATCTCCGGGGTGGGCCTGGCCTGTGTATGTCACCAGGAGGCATTCCCATGCCTCTGAGGTCTGCCTGCTCCAGCTCGGAGGGCCACCTGGCCCAGCCCAGTGAGAGAGGGGATGAGGCCGACAGCACCCAAGGAGGGCGCCCCATATCACTCACATCATGCCGAAGTTTTCCCAGGATGGTTGGGAAGACAGCCAGGGGGGCCTCATTTCCTGCAAATCCCATCTTGCTGAAGCCTGAGCCGTAGTCACAGATGATGGGCACTCTGTCCATCTTGTTGCTTGAGTCCTGGATATGGCTGTAGGGAGAAGCCATGCTGTTATTTGTGCCATCTGCTCCAAGCTCATGGACACCAACGGTACAGGGCAATGTGGCAGCTCCCACACTCAGAGCTGGGCCCTGCCCGGGCTAGGAGCCACTTGCTGGGTGCTGAGGGCATTTTTCTGGATCACAGGTGCTTCCAGAGACCTTTTGAGCATGACTGCCCTGAGAAGAAAGACCACGGTCCAACTGTTGTGCTGGGGTGTGCACCTCTGCCTGGTTCTGAAGCTCCCTGTGACTCCATTCGTGGGGCATCTGATGTCAGCCCCTTTCCCCTTCACTGAGGAAGGAGCTGGCAGAAGGCCCCAGTAGGACCTGGTGGCCTACACACCTGTGACCACAGCTGCCTCTCACACATTCTCAGATCGATGCTGCCTCTTCTGGGCAGCTCTCTTGGATTCTCACCCTGGTCAAACCTAAGCTTTCCTTCTGCCTTGCTTCTAGAGAACTTTCTCACACTTTTGCCACTTTGTAAACCATGAGAAAATGTCAAGAGAGAAATCACTCTCAGCCCCACTGCCTGCCTCCAGCTACCCAGGGATATTTTGCTGTTTCTGTTTAGAAATT